ATGAATTGAAATGACAATTGAGCAATGTTTTGATTAGATTGGTTTTGGGAACAAGAGAAAAGTGACTAATAATTACTAGGCTGCGATGAGAATAAAGAAATTCTTTTTAAGTATGTTGGGGAAAATCCCAAGGGAACACCAAGGTTTGATAAGAAAAATACACAGATAAACAAAACAAAACACGTCATTGAATGATTCAATTCGAATTGTTCCAGCTTGGAAGGATGAGCGACGCAGTTTACCAACACAGGTGTGCACGTGAAAGGATTGATCATCTTGGGCAGAATTAGGAATAGCGTAGAGCGCATGCAATACAATTGGTAAACATTGAATAATGCACACATTACTGTTCAAGTAGTCATTACATAAACTGGGTTATTACAAGTCAGAAAGGCAATATTTGACACAGTTTATGGACACAAATTCATAGCATCTACTATCCGTTTCATTTCTCGTATGGCCCACGCTTTGTGTAACGGCAACCTGATCTGAACTTTGGAGCGCAATAAAATACTATTTCCGATTTCCGGTTGTTCGCATTGAAGTTCAAATTGTTCATTCATCCGAGTGCATTAAGCTAAAACTCCCGTAAACACTGTACTGGGGTTTGCGCAAACCGAACGGACTTGCCATAGACATTACCGCATTACAAGGTTCCACCAAAAAAAGAAAAAAGTAACACCGGAATAAAATAACATAACCAGTTTGCACCACTACAGATATGTCCATCTAACCGTGCTTCAAGAGCAATCGTCCAGACCTTGGTCCCTCTGAAATCCCTATGGATCAAGTATCTTCACTAGAACTAGTTAACACCCATAATTAATTGCATAACAGAAAGAGAGAGGGTGAGGGACGGCGAGACAGAGTCGCAGGTGATGAAGGGGAGAGAGCAGTATTTGAAGAGCAATCTAATGATGGTAATGAGACGGAATGAGGCAATACGGTCCCAGTCATACCGTACAGCACAAGTACAGATCATCTTAGTAACCGTCCTAGAACATACTAGAACCCGTGGTAGTCAAAATCACATCAGTTAAATAATTTATAAGTATGTCGCCCAGATTGGGTGTGTACCATCACCTGGTACGCATCATCGGTTGCAACATACGCGCACAACCCAAATGCAAGTTTGTTTGCCTGTCTGTCCATCTGTCTGTCTGTCCCACCGATGGAGTTGATTGCGCGACTGTGCTCACTCGTCCCGTGGTCAATACCGAACAACGCCCTTTTCCTACAGACCGTGTTGTACGCAACAACTGGAGGCCAAGAGAGCGAGAAAGAGAGTGCGCTCAGGCTGGAAAAAAGAGGAATAAAAAACTTTAATGGCCATGGGGTATATGATGTTCTCAATGCTTGTTGTCAGCCTCCATGAACAGATGTAAATATCAACGGATGGCATTGGGGATTTGTCAGTGAGTGTTTCCCCCTTCGGTGCTAATTGAAGAGAGAAGTGGCACGCATTCAGAAAGAGAGAGAACTGAATCTGATACAATTATTGATCATTATGCAATAAGGACAAAAATGGGCTGTCTTGTGGTCATCCTTGTACACTTGGATCACGATGACCATCACACCCAGATAACATTAAATCCGCGAGAACGTTTATTCTAGGATTTTGCAAAAGAGAACAAGTAAAGGTTTTCCTTGATTTAAACAGATGAACCCCATTACTGGACAGGCGGTCATTTGAATCAAATTCAGAATTGAAGACAGATGTTTATCACAAGAAGCCATTAAAAATGGCTAATTCGTGAGTAGGAAACCAAGGTAGAGTACAATGCTTAAACTAGAACTGTTTTAAATCACGAAAGTAAATAAGGAACATTCCGCAAAGTGATTTACTCAGTCGGGGAATTTCAAATCCTTGCTGAGTATCAGTGACATCATTTTCGACAATGTCAATGCTTCTGTGAACATACTGAGAACTCAGAGGTCAAAAGCACTCAATCAGGGAGGAGCCTGATGCAAGATATTCAGGCGCTCAGATAGTTGTCCGAATTATATTGCTAGTGGTTTTGTGACCCCCACATGTCATTATATTCCCTCACTCCAGCCTATCTATTACCCACTTGGAACTCTCTACAGAAAATAAGATGGCCTCAATTAAAATCTATTCCAACACCTAACTCTTGCATAAATTGCCGTGCCGTTTGATAAGAAATATCCCTGATGAGTGAGAGAATTCTCTTTGTCATTTTCTTTTCTTTTATGAAACAAGTAAATGTGAACTCAGTTTCCAGGAAGCGGAAATGCTGCTATATGACAAAACACTACAAAGAATTCAGTCCACCACCGATGTGAAATTCAAACATCATGTCCAAACGCCCGCCGATTGCTTCCCTGTGTTGAGAATAATATGAATTGAAGTTCTAAGTCTATTGTGACTCTAATTTATTCCGTTGAAACGGTTGGGATAGCCTATCAGGGGGGAACAATCTCAACACCATGAACGCACGAAAAATGCTCCGGTTGTTGAGGATGAGCACTATTCTGAACCCGACTGAGACGACGATCAAATTCCGGTCCTAGTTTAGATGCGTGTGTGTGAAGTCAAAAACAGGTTATGAAACTGGACTGTACAGTGTTATCTGTTGGCAGTATGGATTGAACTTACTCAATGCCCGAAGTCAGTCACAATTGAGTTCCACCAATGCGGTCACGCACTGCATCGTCGGTTCTGGTGCAACCCGGGAAAATGTGAGAGCAACGGGGAAAGAGAAAGAGAGAAGAAGGATTTAACAATCTTGGTGTTGGTGTGCTTAGTGCAACTGGCAATCTTGGCTAGCCTGGCTACGAAACGTCAGCGAACGATAATTCCAGCTCCAACATCCGACTCCCGAATTAAATTAATTCTACATTGTATCCAACAATCAAACAGCTCTCACGCGCACTTTCACTCCGTTATTTCTTTGCACTGCGTTCACTGAATTCCCATCCAAACACACACACAGTGGAGCTAGTTTTGACCACGTTGATAGCACACAGTTCCTCATGGATTCTCTCGTTCGACAACCCATTTCCCATTTCCGATCTGAATAACTCGTTCTGGGCATTATGCATATCGTCTGCTGCTTAGCAGAACTTGAAAGGTGCATATCATATTATTGGATGAAACACACATCGACGCAACAATAATCCCAGAACGAAACCGATTTCCAGTGAAATTAATACATCATTTAGGAAGGCGATTGCCGCATATTCAGACAAATATGCATTGTAATAAATTCAGGGATCGGGGAAAACAAATCTGACATCACCCATATCAAGGCCCGTAAAATGCCACGCTATGCAGCGTGGATCGTGCTCCAGCGGCCATAGGCGAATACGGATAGCCCAGTGGTTGGGGCGTCAGATTAATGACCTCTTGCATCTGGGGTTCGAAACCTCGCAGCTTTGTTGAATATGTCCTACTGGTCAGCAAAACCTTCACTCCAAGACAGGAGTATTATTTTCATAGGTGTAATTGAAAGTTTGATGCTGCTTAACCTGTTTACAAAATACATTTTCAATTCTTTCCTCGCCCGATCGTACAGGGAGCGTTTTATGTTTTTTGAAATTGCAGTCAAAGAATGAATGAACGGTTTTAGCCACAACACAAATGCATCACTGCATCCATCTATCACCGCAAGGCAGAGACTGAATGGTTCGAGGCAACCGTCAGTATTGCAGTGCGCGTGCGCGCGAGCACGCACACACACGCATCGCAGAATTACAAGTGACCCATAAATTATGCAAACAATGAATCGAGTCAACAGATTGCGTGTGCATTTTCATTTGTAGTATATTGACGATCATTACGGATGGAAGTTTTTCAGGTTTAGGTCATTACCAAGACAACTTATCTTCACACAAACACCTGAGAAGTGGTCCAATCCGGTCAGATCGAATTTGCAGGCGGAGAGGTAAAGCAATTTTGCAGTTCATCACTCCCACGCCGGCGACTATGGGATTTTATGACCATCAAACGTTTGGAACTGATAAACTACAATTGAAAGAAAAATATTGGTCCGATGGTCTGTCTGTGCGGTGGTGCTGCTGATGATGACGATGCTGATGATTCGGATGAAGATGATAATGATTCGGATGATGATTTGGATGACGATGATGATGATTTGGATGATGATGATGATGATAATGGTGATGATGATGATGATGATGATGATGATGATGATGAGATCGCTAGCATCTCCTAGATACAGGAAAGGAAAGCGGAAGTTATTTCTTCGTTTCAGTTTGCTACTTCAGCCGTGATATAACTCGGTTCTTCACACAGTGAACTGAAACCCTCATCCGGTGTGCGGAAAATTTGTCTCGGGTTGTGCGAATGGAGTGCATTTCAATTTTTTTGGATAAATGTGATTGATGTTCACATCGGACCTGAATAAGGTATTGTTACGCGAATAAAAATGCGTCTCGCGTGGGGTTTTCATTTTTTCACTCACTAGAGAAAATCATTGGTTGAGTTCGGAGTTTGTGAGTACGCGATATACCAATTGACGTGTGAATAAAATATAACACAGACTGGAGATGTTGACCATACTGCCCAGTTAATCTTTTCACTTTTCATCAGTCCCAACAAGTGTTGGGTACAGTTGTGGAGTGCAATGTTGAATGCGATCGATGTAGGACCAAAACTACCCTCTCTTAATCGGGCAAAAAGAAGCGAAAAGTGGATACGGCACTGTTGGTGGTGGGATTCGAACACACCATCTCCGGATATAGGTTATGATGCCGTGCTCCTTTTACTTCCGCTCCGGTCAAGTCAAGTAAATCAACATAAGATGTATATAACCAATACGGGGAGGGGTATTCTGAGCGTTCCAATGAGGTGCAGTGGGGGAAATATATGCATATAAAGCAGGTAAGAGTTGACAAAGGGATTGCTTGCAGTAAAGGGAAAAACAACACAAATAAAATACACAGCACACTATTAAGTCCATAATGATAGGCATGAAATTTACTAAGATACGGACAAGATGCAGGACGACGTCGTTTTGGTAAATGGTCATAGTGTTTTAATTGCACAAGGCGGTTACTGGACGAGGATAGTTGTTTATTATGAACAACGGGCAAGGTATCGGTAAATTAGTATGCATACAACACAATGTCTCATTTAGAACCAGTCTTAGGAATTCCCACACGAAGAAAAAGGATAGTTATTGGAACGGTATGACGCCAAATGCACATTTCTGTAGTTACCATACTGAATACAGAAATTCGCTCCAACAGTTTTTGTTCATTTCTTACCGTTGAAAGAAACTGCTAATAGCATCCTTTTGCGAACTACTCACAAATATAAGTAGTACTTCACAACGGTAGTAGTAGTAGCACGTGCAAGAAAAAGATCAAATTTGTAACGAGCTTGTAGATGAGACAGTGTGTGGTTGATGAATCGATCGCATGTATCAAAATATTTTCACACACAGCAAACCTTATTTAGATACCAGCACAATGGGGAACAAGTTCAATTAATCCGAAAATCAGGGTGAGTTCTTCGCTCTTTAGATCGAGGAAAAATACTAGGATATGCATCATCAATGAGGAGGAATACAGGCCAGCATCTGATAGTCTAACTAGGTAGTCTGAAAACCGTGGCTCAAAGGTTTTTAACATATTAAGATCAAAATAGGTCGTGACAAGGTAACTGTGGTAGTCGTGAAAGGATATCGGACGGCAGTGCACAAGTACTATGACACAGATGCTAGAATGGCAATCGGAAGATGGAGATCCCGAATATTATTATGGATCTAGGTGCATCCAATCGCATTGGCTGCATGCTGGAAGGCTACCAAACGGACCATATGAACGTTGACTGGACAACGAAGAGCGGGCCAACGACTGGGTGAAAATTGTGATATTTATTAGCACGTTTTTCGGAATACAGTTAAGAGTCTGAGCAGTCCCACGGAGCACACTTCAAAAAGAACACAGTGCTGCGAACAACCTCATTTTTGGTGATTCATAGTTATGAAATACTTTACAAAAATATATAAATTTATAAATACGGGTATGATTGAGTACTGGCATATATATGCAGTGATGTACATATTGTGATATTAGTATTCATGTCAATATATCTCAATATGTCACTACTTGGGAATGAAATTGTCTTGGGACAATAAAATAATATAAAATCACAGATTACTAGAAACGATTTCATCGTGAGACCGGAAATCAGAATCACACGCGAGGAGAAGAGTTCCGTACTATAAAATCGATCTTTACACGCAACGGGTATCCGGAGCGTTTAGTCAACAAGATGATTCAGTGCACGGAAAACCCAGTATAAAACACCGAGGTCAAGAAAAAAAGTCGTGTACGTTTCTTTGTCGTTCAAAGGAGACACATCCGGTGAGATCATACAAGGAAGATTATCCGACGCAATCGATAAGACTTTCTATACATTCAAACTTCATGTGTTGTTCACGTCTAAGCCAGTTGTGTTCGCCAATGAAGGACAAAGTTCCAGACACTGCGGTCTCATTCTGTGTATACTCATTTACTTGGTCCTGTGGAACAGCGTACATAGGCCACACGGTCAGGCGATTGTCCGAATGGATTCGTGAACACCACCCTGCGTGGCTGAACACTGGAACGATTAAGTCATTCATCAGTGCAGTGTTTTCACACCTAGCTGAAACAAATCACACTGTGGACGTGTCCGAGGCTTTCCGACCCCTGTATAAAGTTCGTGGGCGATTATCAAGGCAGGTTCGCTGTCGGATTCTGGTTACAGTAGAAGCGTTGAGCATTCGTCTGCACAAGCCCCTCAAACAATTTGTACAGGCGCTAAAGCTTCCCCAGCCCACCCCCCACATACCGTATCACGAGTAGTCTCGATGATCGGATGAGCCGACAAACAAATATGTGATCATGGTGATCCTGATTCTCGGTCTCACGATGAAATCGTTTCTAGTAATCTGTGATTTTATATTATTTTATTGTCTCAAGACAATTTTATTCCCAAGTAGTGATATATATTGAGATGTATTGGCATGAATCCGAATATCTGAAAACGAGCTTGTTCGCCACTCTATTTTTTATGTTTGAAACTTGCACCGTAGGACTTCGATAATATTGTGATATATTGACGTGAAAACGAGCATGTTCGCCGTTCTGTGTTCCAGAGCTAAGTTTATATACAGCTCACTTTGTTTCTACCTGACTTTGAGCTTTTCAATGGGTTTTAAGCCAAGTCTGATTTCGCGCTATTCGATTCTGACTACTATTGCGAGGGTATTTCATTGAGCCACTCCCGAAGGTGATGTCCCTGTTAATAGCACGATACAGCAGATTACTAAAACGGGTCCAATAATTAGACCTCTGTTGAAGGCTAAAGGAAATTTTAACACATTTATCGATAGGAGGCATTAGAAACTGGAGTGCAAATCAAAGTAAACCTTGATTTAGGTAAATTTGGATTTGCCAGAAACTGAAATAGCATCCAATTCTAACGCGATAGATTTGGAAGGGATGGACATGTTATTTATGCACGGAAAAAAAGGAATAGAAATGAATTTCACACTGAAAACTCCCTGTTATAAAACGCGAATTGCCTCCTTCGGGATAACTTCGGATAACTGATTGATAAGGCCACATCAAGCCCCAGATTGCAATCAGAAACACGCCGAACGAGAATACGTCTAAGAAGCACTAGCATAATCAAGGAAAATAAAAAATTACATTGTCAGACCTTTAATTTAACGAGCAGGCTACGGCAAGAAGGAAGGTGTGCAAGTGTATCAAGAAGGAAAAGAGCGACATAGACGAGAGTAATCCGGGAAACACGGCATTCTTCTTCTTCTAAGCTAACAGCAATCTGTTTGTACTTTGAATGCACGTTCTTGAGGATGGATGCTATTCGGTCAGATCTTCAGTGATAGTGATGACTTCCGGCTGGGAGGCACAAACTGAACCATTTAACAAAGGGCGATACAAATTGCTCAAGACAAACTCTCAAGAGGTCGGAAACGGATTGCTCTACCCGGGGAGAAAAAGTTCGACTGTTTAAGGGGAGGTGAGCGGGTGGAGAATGAAGATAATATTGAGTTGGACAGGAACAGATCGTCCATTTAGCTGTTTCACATCCAGCTAAGAGCTTTTGTTTACCTCGCAGCTCTGTTTCACTGCCAACCAAATGTCAAGACCATGCTTAAAGAATAGTTTAAGTGAATATTTGACTAAGTTGTTCTATCTCCTTCGTGATTTACAATGATGTGTCAACTCGCCTACCGGTATTATAGGCCACTTCCGTATGACGGTGAAATCGTTTTAGTGGGTGCGATGAGAATCTGTCGGTATGAACATGAAAAACCTCAACTGGACAACACAGATCAAAGAGAACATTACGCTAACAGGTGAGGTGATCACGCCCAAAAGAATTTTCAGAACGGATAAACACAGCGAAATCGGCAGTTGCAACCGCGGCTTGAATTCCAGCTCCGTTTGCCGAGGAACAATTTTTCCTTTTAGCTTTTTTATTTAAAAAGTGACAATATCTGCCATAAATTTATGATAATAATTAGAAGGCCGTCAGGAAAACTGGAGATAACGGTCTATCGCAAGGCAACGCATACGGATCAAGTCCTAAACTTCAAAAGTAATCATCCACACAGTCACAAAAGATACTGTGTTAGAACCTTGTTCGGAAGAATCCAAACGCACTGCAGCACCAATTTACTCGATAAGAAAGAAGAAAAAATTCCTCCTCAGAGTATTTGCTCGCAATGGCCACGCCCGCAACTTCATCAGAAGGATTCGGACTCAAAGAAAGAAAAAACAATAAACGGAGAAAAATGGGGAACAAGAACGAACCTATCATACATCAAGGACGTTTCGGAAATGACAGCAAGACTGCTCAGATTATATGGAATCCACGTCACTCACAAACTAACCACCTGTCTAAGGAGACTTTTGTCAAAACCAAAGGAGCAACCATGGAGAAGGACAAAAGCAGTGTTATATACAAAATAAACTGCAGGGACTGCCCAAAACACGATTTCGGACAAACTGGAAGAAAAATAGTCATTGAGGATTCGTGAACACCAATCTGCAATCAGGAAACATGACCCACTATCATTGATTTCCCTGCACAAAGATCAGGAAGGACATCAGTTTGACTTCGAATCATTGAAAATTATTGATTAAGCCCAGTGAGAGCACGCCAGCGAATTTCTCGAGGCTTGACACTCTTCAAACAATTCAATAAACAGGTATATCTAATTGGATCACGTGTACACGCCAATGCAAGT